AAAAAATTGACCTAAAAAACCTGAGCCGACTTATCCATGGGTCAATGTAATTACTATACTTTTAACTCTTGTATAAAAAGTAACCACCTCTTCTGAAAGGCAAGGGCATAAACTGTCCTCGAAGAACTGATTTCCCCCCTCTCCCACTCTCTTATTCATTCAGCCTTTAGGGTGAACACAAACAGCACCTCCAGCTGTTGCAAAGGAGGAGGAGAGAAGAAAGGACTTGGCAGGGCAGCTTTAAAACCTCCCACTTGCCCTCCTTGCCCTCTCAGCACCTTCAACTGTTGAAGAGGAGGAGGAGAGAGGAAAGAACTTGGCAGGGCAGCTTTAAAACCTCCTGCTTGCCCTCCCATCACCTCCAGCTGTCCAAGAGGAGGAGGAGAGAGGAAAGAACCGCTTCTCCATCAGCGCTGTGGGAGCCCACTGCTTCTCTATCAATGCCGTGGAAGCAAGACACGGCCAGCGGAGGCTTTAAAAACCTTCCCCTTGGAACATCTGGGACAGTAGCACGCCGTGGCGGCTGTGGTGGCGTAATTCAAGTGGCCCTGATGGAGCCTATTCAGCTCTTTCCCACCAGTTTGACATCATTGGGCGTGACTTTCCCTGAAGGGATGTTTGGCTACCCCAACTCCACTACTATTTGTAGTGGTATTGTTGGAGGAGGGGTGTGTGTGAGGGGGACAGTTTCCCTGCCTATCTCTGGCACTGTTGATAGCAACGCTGTTGGGAGAACACTGGGCAGTAGACCATCCAGCTGCCTCAATGTCGTCCTCTCTAACAGGGGCTGTGAATGATCTGGGAGCGGGAATTGAGATTGTGTGGGGCAAAGGAAGGTATGGTGGGAACAGAGTGAAGGGATGTTACAAAAGAAGGCGGGATCAATGTTTGAAAGCTATCCCACCTTCAGTTCACTCTGTCCCCTGGAATGGATTGGAGAGCGTACCAATCATTCCACAGATCCTTACTCTGTTCCTTTGCAATGCCAGGTCAGTCAAAAATAAGACTCACATTATTCATGACTTCCTTTTAGATGAGGCCGCCGACCTGGCTTGCTTTAGTGAGATCTGGTTGGGAGAAGCCAGTGCAGTGACTTGGGCGCAGGCCCTCTTGGCCGGGTACTCAGTCAGTGAGCAGGTAAAGAGAAGCGGGCGGGGGAGGGGGGGGCGGAGTGGCTTTAGTTCATAAGAACAACCTGACCTTGACCAGGATGCCTGTCCGGAACACAGTCCACTTCGAGTGCATGTACCTGAGCCTGAGGACTATGGATAGTTTGAGGATTCTGTTAGTAGACCAGCCACTCCGTTGCCTAATAGACTCCCTAACCGAGCTGACACAGCTGGTCAGAGTTGGATTCATCCAGACTTTTAGTTTTGGGCGACTTCAACATCCCACTCGAGACTAGTTTGCCAAATTTAACTGGCGCGGCTCGGGAGTTCATGGAATTCATGACAAACATGGGCCTATCCCAATTGGTCATTGGGCCTACTCATTGTGCGGGTCATGCCCTCGATGTGGTCTTTAGTACAGAACAGGAACATCCGTGGTCAGAGATTATCAAAACCACCGCATTGTCATGGATGGATCATTTCCTGGTCAAGACTGAACTAAGAACCACTGTCTGCCCTACTGGGGGTGGTGAACGTATTAGAATGATCTGCCCTTGATGGCTGATGGAACCAATAGGATTCCAGAAAGCCTTAGAGGGTTTAATGGTTGGTAACGCCGGTGATTCTGTCGAAGCTTTGGTTAATACCTGAAACACTGATCTTACCAATGCTATTGACACAATCACTCCCAAGCGTTCTTTCCAACCCGATTCTAACCGTAAGCTGTGGTATATGGAGGAGTTTAGGAAGATGAAGCGGGCTGGACAACGGTGGTAGGGGAACTGACGCAGGTTCTACCTGCACAGAACCCTTTACTTAACATGACAATGTCCTGCTGTGACGCGTTTAACTACTTTGAAGATAAAATCTCTCAGATAAGAGCCAACTTAGATGCCAGTGTTATGACAGAATCAATAGATGAGGTGTCCAGCAACTCTGCTGACGAAATTATACTGGATCAGCTTCAACCTGTGAGTACCGATGATGTGGATAAGCTCCTTGGTAGAGTGAGGGAAACAACCTGCTCTCTTGATCCTTGCCCATCATGGCTGGCCATCCAGGGGGGTGACACATTAAGAACGTTCCTTAGGGACATTGTCAATGCATCCCTTAGGGAAAGTTTTGTTCCATCTTGCCTAAAGGAAGCGGCTGTTAGGCTGCGTCTGAAAAAACCTTCCCTGGACGCCCTGGATAGGAATAACTATAGGCCAGTCTCTCAACTACCTTTTTTAAGTAAAGTGATCGAGAGGGCAGTTGCTCTTCAACTCCAAGCTGTTTTGGAAGAAACCGATTATCTAGATTCATTTCATCTGGCTTTAGGACAGGATATGGAGTTGAGACTGCCATGGTTGCTCTGGCTGATGACCTTTGCCTGGGCATCAACAGGGGTAGTGTGACCCTGTTGGTGCTCTTGGACCTCTCAGCGGCTTTTGACACAATAGATCATACCATCCTTTTGGTTCGCCTGAGAGGGTTAGGAATTGGAGGCACTGCATTGCAGTGGTTCCATTCCTTCATCCTGGGCAGATCTCAGAGGGAGAGGCTCAGGGACAGTTGCTCTACAAGAATAGAGCTTAATTGTGGCTATCAGTACGCTGATGACACCCAGATATATTTCTCAATGTCTTGGTCATCAGCTTCAACTTCAGATGGCGTCTCTCTTCTCAATGACTGTCCAGTAATGGACTGGATGAGGAAAAACAGATTGAGACTGAATCCAGAAAAAACGGAGGTACTAACAGTTGCGGGCCCAAAACCAGGTATGGGAATACAACTTCCAGTCCTAGATGGGGTCACACTCTCCTCCAAGGACTGTGTTCACTATCTGGGGTGCTCCTGGATCCGTCGCTCCAGATGTCAAATCAGGTAAATGCGACGGTTAGGAGTGCCTGTTATCAGCTTTGGCTGATATGCCAGCTACGCCCTTTCTTGGAAACGAAGGATCTTGAAACTGTGGTACATGCGCTGGTAACCTGTCGTCTTGATTTCTGTAACACGCTCTACATGGGGCTACCCTTGTTTGACCCGGAAACTTCAATTGGTTCAGAATATGGCAGCCAGTTTGGTCTCTGGAACATCTAGGAGAGACCATATTACAACTGTGCCAAAATCATTCCACTGGCTGCCTATTAATTTCCGGGCACAGTACAAGGTGTTGGTTATGACCTTCAAAGCCCTACATGGCTTGGGTCCAACCTATCTCCGGGACCGCCTCCTTCCGTATGATCCACCCCGCGCACTCCGGTCCTCTGGGAGGAATTTGCTGCAGCCTATGGAAACGAGGCTGTCGGCAACCTCCCAGAAGACCTTCTCTGCTACTGCGCCCAGATTATGGAATGGCCTGCCGGACAAGATCCGTCTTATTACCACCTTAAACAGCTTCAAAAAGGCTGTTGAGACGGATCTCTTCCGGCAGGCCTTTCCTGAATAACTCTCCTGGCCCAAAGAGTCAGATATTTTTCTCCCTTTCTGCGCTGCTGCTGTTGTAATGCATTTTGTTTTATGTTGTGATTTATTTTAAAATGTTTTTAATTGTCTAAGTTTAATATTTTATAAGGGGTGGGTGGGTTTTGGGGTTGTATGTATTTTATTCTAGTTTTAATTGTTGTAAGCCGCCCCGATTGCACTGCAGAGGGACAGGATAGATATAAATTTTATTATTATTATTATTAGTTATGCCTGCTGGAATTTGGTAAATTCTTTGGCATTATTTTCCTTTCCTTCATCCTTTAAATCCATCCTTTTTTACATGCCCCTAAGTTTTACCCTGGACTTTTCCATGGATCATATCAAACTCCATAATTCTAGCCCCAAAACCTGCCCTCGATGTATACATGGGGTCAACTTATAGTCGAGTATATACGGTATGTGTATAGGGTAGGGGATAAAATCTGTGTGCCTGCACCGTCTTGACTCTCTACTACAACTATGGTTTTAGATTATTTTTTAAAGGCACTCTTCAGCTGCTTGTTATGTGAATTTTGAGCTTTTAGCTGACCAACCTGACTTTGCAATGTAGAAAATAAGGGAAGCTATATAAATTGCTGGGAATTGAGATGATTGAAATATTTTAGAGGTGAAGATGTGAAACATGTATAGAGACCTAACTAATGTAGAGTGTAGAGGCATGGAGACCTAACTAATGTAGAGTGCCTCA